TGGTTAAAGGCACAATCGGTGCTCTCCCAGTGGGAAGGGAGGGAGAAATGGTCCAGCACTCATATTGAACCATGCAGAGAGCTGCTGGCCTTAAAATAAACCCATGTAGGGATCTGTGCAATACCCCCAGGGGCTGGTGAGTCACACAGAGAGAGGCACAGATCATACAGCATGGTGCCTATCTAGAGAGGCAACCTTGGGTGATAGGCTTTGTAAAGAAGTGATTTGGAGCACCAGCTCCAATCATGGTCCCTGGGGATAGAAGAGAGTGAGAGGAGAGGTGGGTGGATATTCACCTGCAGTGACCCATTAGCATCAAAGAGGTAACAAAAGAAATCAAAACCTTAAATCAACAGGCGACAAGAGGGTATTGCTTTCTTAGTTATTGGGATGGGATCTGGATTTACCACTAAGCATGAGGTTCTCTGAGCCACTATGGGCCCTTAAAACTGTGGTGAAATCCTTCAAGTGGTTTATTGCTGTCTCAGTAGACAGGCTGCAGGCTTAAAACGCACCTCCAGTCTTCAGCAGCAACAGGAGTGGTGCAGGCTCCCATTCCGTGAAGCATCGCATTTAAATAACATTTCAGGTTTAGTGATTTCTTGAGCCTTGACTCCCTCAGAGAGAAACAAGAGTTCCATCATGAGCTTTCAACAGACTTGCCACGTCCTTGAGCAGAGCATCACTTCTGCTTAGCAGAGATTTAAATTCTCTAAAGGATGATGAACCAGCACCCACAACAGCTTACAAACCTACAAAGCAGAGTAGACATTTCTAGCTGCTTTTCTAATCAGTGGGGAGTCTTTATTTACTCCAAATTGTCAAAAAATTTTCATCCCAATTTCCCCTGGCTCCATCGCCTTCCTTAGACTGCAGGAATTTGTATGCTGCAGGAATTTGGCAGGAAGAGGTTACAGAAGGGTTCGCCAGCCACCCCCACTGCAGGTGGTATTGTTCTGCAAAGAAACCTCCAAACCCAAACTGCAAGGCTGTTGGTCTATTTTAAAGTGAGGCATCACTGAATAACGCTATAGATCTGCCTCAGGAGAGTTTGCTTAGTAGAGAACTTGGCCAAAGAGGACTTTGGCAACTACAAACACATTTACATGGCAAGGCCAAATGGAGCTCATGTATGTTCTGCCTTTCCAGAACTGAAAGGAAGGAGGGTGGGCGTAGAAGCGTCTCCAGGAGCTAAATGATATCCATGTGTTAGGAGAAAACAGAGTTGCCAGACACCTACAGAAATAGGTTCAACCTTGACTGATTTTTTGCATATTTAACAATTAAATCATATTGTTGCTGTAGGAGCTCCAGCTGCTGGGGGCTGGCGTGGTGATTTTCCAGTTGCTTCATCATCTAGTTAGTACTGCTAGCGCTGTGGCAGCAGAGCAGGTAGCAAGCATGGTTGCTTATTCACACCACGTGCTATGGACAAGAGGGAAACAGCCCAAAGCAACCAGTTAGATTTAATTGCACTGCAGAAGATCCTTACGGAGAGCTCAGTTAGTGCAAAACTCATGCCAGGGCTCAGGCTTTGGAACAAAACATAAAGAAAAAACTACTGCTTTGGGCCCGGCTGTCTTGAGAAATAGCTCTCTGCAAGGGAGAACTGCAGGCAAGACCTTCAGCACAGTCCTGAGCATGCAATAACCAAAGGGGTTAATGCTCTGCAGTGTGTTAACGCGCCAGAAATGAGATGAGAAAGAGCATCTGTGAAGTTGACTTCTCCACCCATGAAAACAGTGGGAAGATCATCCAGCCCATTTCCAAATAACCTCCCATTTCACTAGCAAGGGGTGAACAGGATAGTGGCAGTGAACTTCTAAAAAAAAGTTCAGCAGCTGTTTTCTTCATACTGTCCTTACTGAGAAGGGATTTCTTTGAAGCCTTCACTCTCTTCCCACATTTTGCTGTTCAAATGTAGTGCTAAGGGGAGCGATTGGTTTAGGCTCTCCTTTCGTCTCATCTCTCCTGTATATAGATACGTGTACATATATATATGCACACACACATATTGCTAACGCTTCCAGGTGCATCATTACTCCTCTTCCCCGTCCTCCAGCCAAGGAAACATATTTCTTTTAGGGCCTAGAAAGAACAATGATCAAGTCCAGCTTCCCAGGCATGTGAAGCACCTGGAGCAATATACTCAAGTTCTCGTTAAGGCTCCAGTTATCCATGTCACAATAAATATTTTACAGTGAACACTGCAGTGAAGCTTTCATTCAGCAAAGATAAAATAAGCTTTGAAGCTAAGGTTATGTATGTTTTATGTTACTGGACAAGCTCATATTACCAGATGGCTGAAAGAATCACTCACAAGATAACAATAAGTTGGGAACCAAAGTAATTTTAGCAGAAAATTAAAGGTCAGTGATGTTCTTCATCCTCACGTGTTATGTGAACAGACACTAGGGGTCTACTCCCACATTAAACTGAGAATATAACCACATAGAGAGGACTGATCCAGCCTTTAAATACAATAGCATAGAACACCGAAATCAGAGTTTGTGCTCCTGCTGCCCTGAGAACACTAAGAGCAAAGGCAGGTCACAGACCATAAACTTCAGTTTTCCCCACCTATAAAGGGAGCATCACAACACTTCCCTCCCTCAGAGGGGGCATGTGTCTGTGCTTGATCCTCACAGTCCTTTGCCGTGGCACAGAGAGCTCCCAGGAGGTGCACCGCAACACCTGCACATACAGGTACACATCTGTTCTCATTGCTGAGAGCATCACGGAGCACTTTGTTTTGCATTGATATGGTTAAAGATTGTAAACTGCTCAGACAGCTCAGGAATGAGGGCTGAGCAATCAGTTCGAAGCACAACGGAAACAATTGCACACTACTATTTCAGAGGAGGGACCAAGAATCCTGAATTTAGGGTTGCTCAAACAGCACTGGCTACGCAAAGCTTGAGAGGGACAATCTTCCCCCACGTCATACTTGCCCTGCTACTGCCTACTGCGAGCCTTCTCAGCCAGCCTCAACAAAGGGTTAAGACAAAGATCACATCACTCACTTTCCATTTCAGGACAAGGACTTTGCTGTGGTGGAATCTGCACTCTTCACATACTGCAGCATTGCGCTGTGCAGCCCTACAGCAAGAACAAAACCCAAAATCCCAACACACCTCAAAACAGGGAGCAAGTTTCTAATAGGACAGCTGTTTTAATCCATTTTCAGTCAAGACCTTAAACAGCACAGGAGTTATTCCAGTCCTTACCAGCACAGAACTCCGCCAGACAAGCAAAAGTTACATTGTGAAACTGATTTCACTAAGGAACACAAATGATCTATTGAGAGCGCTGTGTGCCATGTGTTCCAAAAGCCATTTGATGTGCCAGCACAACTAGGATTTTCACCCCTCATTAAGTAAGGAAGAAACAAAAAAGGGACTTAATTTCCAGAAATACAGTATAATGCTGCGCAGCTGCAAGTGTAGCCAGGCACATCTACTTCACTAAGGGGCATGCGAGTCTTTGAGTTGCATCTAGTGCTTCTAAACTACTTTGAAGTTAGGAAAAAAACCCACAAAACAAAACCAAAGAACCCCACAAAACCAAAACATCTTCACACGCCCTCATCTCAGCTTTTAAAAGTCAAAATCCATCCACATTCAAAAATCCACATCTTTTATTTTCTACTCCCTAATAAGGAGTGTTTTCTTCGGAAAATACAAGGGAGGGAGGGAAAATAAAAGGTAATTCCTGCTCAACGCTTCTGGGGACTATCTTGCAATAAGCAAAGCCTGTCTATGGCTCAACCGGGTCTCTTGGTTCAGTTCAGAGGATGCTGGATCAGGCCCTGCTCTGAGGACTGTCCACCATTTGGACTCAGTGTGGGTCTCATCACAGCTGTGTGTCTGCACTCAGTCTGGGAGTCCATCATGCAGCTGCTCTGTGCTCTCTTTCTCTCCCCGGGAGAGCTGCAAAGTGTTTTGCATTTTTGTGTGTTTATAGATGAATACAGTGTGTTAACAAGAGAGCAAAGGCAAAGATCTGGGATTACCCAGGGGTCTTCTCCTACAACGGTCCTACCTGAGGCCATTCCCTTACACCCAGAACATTAGGGCTGGTTAACGGGGCTTCAGTTGACGCTTCAGATCTAGTTTTTGAATCAGGTCCTGCAGAGATTTTATATGTTTATTTTAAACTAGGTAAAAGGAAAGTAGTCAACTTTTAATTCCCAGTAAACACTCACTTGTGAGGCGGCAACTGGGATCAATCTCCGAGTCTGTTCTCGTCTGGAGTCAGCACAGGCTGATGCTGCAGCATCAGGTCTTTGCACTGAAGTGGCTCATACAACCCATCTGCCAGAACTTAGCACCGTGGCTCAGCTCTTCTGTAGGTTTACTAGGATAGCCCTGCTACAGAGAGGCCACCTGCCCCGTAAGGAACTGGTTGGGAAAGATTTCAACAGATTCCCTTCCTCCCCTTTACAGCGTTGGGGTCTTGCAAAACACCAAGCACATGGAAGCATTCCAATTATGAGGCAGTTTTAGGTCAAATATTTATTGCATTCCTTATAAAACAGTAAAAAGCATCAGATCCACTGAGACAATCTTCCCAATTCAAGACATTTAAATAAGTATTGCAAACTAATTCTTTTGAGTATTGTGAATATAAAAGTGTCACACTTCAGGTAGTACAGGATAGATCTATTTTTTTCCCCCTATAAAAAAAAAAAACAAAACAAACCAAACCAGACAATCTTTTGATTTCAGTCTCTAGCCCTGACAAAAAATTACACCCAGCTGGCCAGCCAGGGGCAGCACATACCCGTACCCCCAACCTCACCGTGCCTGCATGTGTACAGGTTAGGGGCAGACAGGTAAAGCAGATACCGCTCAGAGCCTGTACAGGATGCACAGGCATCATCCCGAAAAGACAACCGCAGAAGGACAGGTCTAGATGAGGCAGGCAAAAGGATCTCTGCAGATCCACAGGGATCAACTAGCATTCCCCCACCCTGCCCTTCCTCAGCCAGCTCAAGGATCACAGTGCTGCTTCCCTTCCTCCACCTCCCTTGTCCCAGTGTTGTCAGATGACCACTTGATAGCTGGGCTGCTTCATCTTCTGATTCGTTCCCTGGAGTCCTGAAATATCCTGGTCGCTTTCTGACTGATCAAAATCCATGTCTGGAGAGAGTAATACCTAGAAAGGAGAACAGACAGATGCTGACAGAGTGAAAGTTCTCAGCTCTTCTTGATAGTGCTTGCTAAAGGGGTCGAGCCCCCCTAGAGGGGTCAGCTGCAAGATCTAATCCTCTCTGGCAGATGGGAAGTGTCTCAAGGTCACTTTGACCATCTCTCCAACAACAGCCAGACGGGTTTGGGCACAGACACCGTGATGGTTTGGTGTCCTACCCCCATCCCCTCCCCACCTTGAGAACAGACCAGGCAGCTAAAAGCTCTGTTCACCATGGGACAGGACTCACACAGAGACATGCATGTTCAGGCCAGGCTGCAGCCTCAGTAGAGATGTACAAAAACTAGGCCACATATTTTGCAAACAGCTGTACCAATGTAGACCTTTTCCCAAGCCCCCAGCTACTTGCCATCTCCAGAGCTCAGCCAGGAGAGCAAGAAGAGCTACAGAGTTAGCTTCAGCCATGACCAGCAAGCTCAGGAGTGGTGTCCTAGCCTGGTAGCATCTTATTTCCACCTGGCACAGCAGCTTCTGGCTCAGCCTGAATTGTGGGAGCCAAAATAGAGCAGTGACACCTCTCCCTGGTACCTCTCCAGGTAAGAAAGCCCACGGCTTTGCCGCGCGATCAAAAGGCTGCCCATTGCCTCCAGGAACACCTACGCTCTCAGTAGCTAACTTCAGACTTGAAGCTACCAACAGGCTGGTTTGAGCTAACTGGCTGCCACTGGCCTGGAGCGTTTGCAGGATGCAGACAGAGCCACGCGTGGGACATCCTCCAGCCACATCATCTGGAAGAGGAAAAAGGCTGGGTTTTACTTGGGCTGTGGCTGCAATGACCACAGAAGAGCTGAAACCAGCAGGCTGGCTGGATAAGCAGTTTGCACAGGTAATATTCATGGCTTAACAGATTGTTTACTAAACCCCATCCTACCCCCTCAAAACCCCATCTTTTGGGCAAGAGAAGCCCTATTGTCATTACCCCTGACAGCAGCTGCCTCTAAACACAGCTGAAGTGCAGTCAACCCTTGTGCTACAGCTTGTGTCATGCCCAGCAGTACTCGGGAGCTCAGTTGAATCATGGCATTTCTGGTAAACACTAGTCATCCACATCAAAAGCCTGGCCAGGTCCTTTGCACCTCAGCACCCAACTCTACAGAGAGGCACAAGCCTAACAGCACAGCCAAGGGCCTTTATTTCCCTAGAAGAGCAATGCCAACAGCCCTTTCCCCCTTCTCCATTTGCCCATCACAGAACCCAAATAGCATCATTACGTCCCTGATGCAGGGATAAGAGCCAGGTACCACAACCATCCCCACAAACATCGCTTCCTCCAGCAAGGCAGCACAGACCACCTTCCTCAGCCCCATCTGACCCCATTTTGCTCCAAAGACCGTCCCAACGCACTACGAAGCTTCCCTCCACACGACCCACAGCAGCAGCCTCCTCGCTCAAAGGCACGAATCAAGGGACTTTCACACACAAGAGCGTCCCCAACAGCTCAACCGGTCCCAGAGCCCCATATTCCTTGGGCAAAACCAGGAGCACGGGGGAATTAGTCTCATCAGTGGCTATCTCCCTGCACAGCTGCAAATTAGCGTGCCCTCCACTTGTTAGTGCTTAGGCAGCCCCACGAAACCAGTCACCACAGCAACAAAACCACCAAACAGGAAAAACAAACTCCACTGAGTCAATGACTTCAAAGGAGCAGAAGAGCCGCAGGGGAAGATTTCCTCCCCACCCTCACGCACACTCCAACCCCTCCATCTCATGTTGTTATCTTCACAGCAGCACGTCAGACACTCCAAGAGGAGCAGTAGATCAGATTAAACTCTCTTGTGTCCACCCCACATTGGTCTCAAGGCATTTTTTTTTTGTTTTGTTCAAGACACGCACTGGAAAGTTTCTTTTCCGCGTGAAGGTTTCCTCTGTTTATCATATTAATACTGTGATGCTGTTGAACCTGGAAAAACAGGCGGGTAGTTAGTCACAGGCAGCATTATAAACTCACTGAACTCTGGCAGGCTGCAACAGGCTGGTGTTAGGGCCTAATGAACTGGTAATTTCTGTGGGTTTCAGCTGCAAACTCAAATCCCCTTGCAGCCAAGCATGGATGACAGAGCAGGCACCGAGCGTTGCACATCCAGACCCATTCAGGCTGCTACCTGCCCACGGTACAGTTCACACGAAGCTGCTCCCCCAGCAACTTCTCCACAATTCCCCAAGGAGCTTCATCACCAGAGGGCACCTCATCACTATGACAGTCACGGGACCTACCCTCAGATATGGTTTTCAAGCCAAACTTCCAGCTTGGGAGTTTTCAGCACAACTTGGACGAGGCGCTTCCCCTGCAGATGCATCCAGGTCAGGATCACAGCAGGTTGGTGGCACAGCTGGGAATGGACCACGGTTTCCCAGTCCTGGGACAATGTGCTACTGTCTCACTCAGCAGCCCTCAAATACTTCATGCATTCCTCCCCACACCAGGAGACCAGCAGCTTGCAAAACAATATGAGTCACGCTACCAAAACAGAGCTGCCCGTGCACTCTGCCAGCCCCTCCTGTCTGGGGGAAGAGGTTGCCTACTGGTTTGGTACTCCATCCAAGCAGATCCTTCGGATAACTAAGCCATCTTAGTGGCAGATGAGAACTATGACACAGGTTGTCAAACAAAGTAGCTCTGGGGACATTTCCCTCCTAGCCATGGAAACCTGTTTGCCTAAAGCTCTACCAGCCCAGTCTAGAGGTAGGAACCATCTCACCATCCTCCTGCATCTGAGCTTAGATAGGTTCCCATGAGTCAGTAGGGCTGAGAGCTGTGAGAGCCTCATTCCAGAGACACCTTCATTTAGCTTCCCTGTAAGGACCAGGCATCTTAGTTCACCTTGAGCTGTTTAAAAATCAGCTCAGTTAAGCAACCAGCAAATCAAACTCACTCTTAAAGTATTCTTCAATACTTAAAAGCAAGCGGCATAGGTATTGGGATTCAACGGCATCTTCAGTCTGGGGATTTGCAAAAAGTCACAGCTCCTGTGAAGGGAATTGGGATGAGTCCTGAACTCCACGCTGACCAAAGGCAGGCCCCCACGTAGTATATTAGCTTTCCTCCCAACCTTAAACTAACCTCTAGTTTCACCCTAATGGTTCTCACAAGTACCACTTTTATTAGACCCAGTTTTGCTTTGAGGCTCGTCTCTGGAAATGTAAGCCTTTAGAAAAGGAGCAGAAACTCACACATCACCCTTGGGAAAAAAACAAGTTCAAAAAAAGATCAAAAAAACCCCCCCATTATTAAATCTGAGTTGTTTTCCCCGAGTTGAGGAAACAAAGAAATCACTGATAAGATCAAAAGTTTATTGGCACTCACAAGGGCAAGGGAAAAGAAACTCAGGTCAAGGGCAGGACACATGCAAAGCAGAAATGAGGGCCATGGAGATGAATGCACTTCCCCAGCCTGAACAGCACTGGATTCAGACTGGCGCTCGAGAGATCTCTTTCCATCCCACGAGAGGGCAAAAAAACCCAGCTGTGTGAAGATCAAGGCAGAGCACAAGTCTGAAACAGAAAGCTTTAAGACTGACATGGAAGGAATGGTTAAGTTCTTGCACCCATAAGAGCGAGTTTATCCCTTTCAGGGTTTCGGTGTGAGAGAGTTCAGCATTTGCTCCATTATAACCAAGAGCCCATCGTCCTGTCTGTGGCTCACCAGAAGAGCCTTAAAACCCACAAGAGACTGCCAGTTCTTTGGTCTGCACTGCAGTCACAGAGCCACTAAGTGACATCAGTGGCAGGATTCCTGCTTGCTGGGTTTCTCCTTGCTACCCAGCTGGTCTACTGAGCCAAGGACAAAGCTGAGTTTTCCTGCTATCCCTACAGAAAATACTGAGCGTGTGTCTTTAACAGCTTAACTTCAGCCCCCCTCTTTCCATTCTCCTTTCTCTCTCCCCCTCCTTTTCCAAACACAAACTGCAAGTTCAAGTGAAAATAATGACACCCTCTATTGGCAAGATAGGCAGAGGGTTGAAATTCAAGAAGGCGGCATGATGGGGAGCTGTCGGCGCCTGCTGCTAGACAGACCTGATGAACCCTGATAAACCGCGGGACACATTAGCCTCAGCCAGCTCTGCCCTGCACAGATGCCTCTCAGCCCCCCTCCTTCCTCCTCTGCTGGGCAGCAAGGGGGGGAAGAAATTCTCTGACTTGAACAGGTTATTCGCAACAACAAGTCCAGCTAACCCTCATTTTCTGTTTTCAAGCCTAAATTCCAGCCAGTCCAGCTGTAGGACCCAGCCAGCCAACATGATCTTTAGTTAATAGCCTAAAAAGTTGACACACGAAGCAAGAGCCTACCTGTCAATCACATTAGCTGATACCTTGAGGCCCAGTGCCAAGAAGCAGAATTGGAAAAGCAGGTCACCCACTTCTGTATTTCTTTATTATCTTCCTTTTCTGCCCGAATTATTTGGGCGCCAGAGGCACAGGAACATGTCCCCATAGACTGTTCCAGGCACAAACTGGTCCCATTGGTAGCTCCACTGCAGTGACGGATCAGGGTGTTTCAAGATAGACAGATGACCTGCACATTGAAGGTCTCAGAAGAAATTCGTCTAAGAAAAGGAGTCAAGTACTTGGAAGATGGGAAAAGCCTTTGACTTTAGGAGCCAGACTGTGGAAATTGTTTCTATCACTTGAAACAACCTGTCTGGGTTGAGCTACCAGAAAAGTCTTTCTGAGCTTCTGGACATTACACGTATCTTCCCTTCAGACTATCCAAAACTGAGCTAGAGGCCACAAAACACTTGCCCACCCCCCACTTCAGTGGAGTAAGGCAGTGGACCAGTAACTGCAACACCGTCTGTGTATCCACAGCAGCCACCATCTATGCGACTGGATGCTGCAAATTTAGGTTCAGAAGGCTGGAAAGGAGGCTGGTGAGAGAGAGAGAGAGACAACTAGAGACATTGCCTCCTTATCCTTGCTTCTGAGCTGGTGTAATTTTAACTGATCTTAAACCTTCAGGAACACACCAACACATCCAGTCAGTAAGGCAGATCTTTACCACCAGCTTTACAGTTTGAGCTGACCTCCAACCTAGCTCTTCTAAGCAAGTACCGCTCTTAATCATCATTCACCACCAAGAAACCAGGACTGCACCATAACCAGGGATGAGTTCATGCCCAGAGTTAATCCACTTTCACATCCTAGTTATGAGTTCTCAGCTTCAATGCATAACTGTAAAGACATACTGGTACTGCCCAACTCAGGCCTCTCTTCCGTCCTCTCTCCAAAACAATAAAGACTTCTAGAGGATGCCCTCACCACACACACCACTCAAAACTCCCTAGGGCACAGCGTCCGCATGTTTCTAGTGACCTCGCCAAGCTACAACTGTTTATCTGGAGGCAGGGCCAGGAGAAGTGACTCACTTGTCTCAACAGCTGCTCACATGTGCCTGACCTTCCTGCCAGAGGGAGGATTCCTCTAACACTGCATCCCCACGAGCGGCAGCCACTTCCCTACTGCACCCTTGAGCCATGGAAGCCATGGCTGCTGTGCAGACTGCCAAGCACACCGTTAAACGCTATTACCTCCACGTGCGTTGCAATGTCACCAGTAATTGGCCATCCCACCCATCAGCTTGAGAGCTGAGTTACTCTCTATAAAAGAGCTCTCAGAGAGCAAGAGCTATTTCTGTTCATCCTAAATTCCTCAGAAGCTGCTCCAGGAGCCAGCCTGTGACTGCCAGGAGCTATCTTATCTCAGCGAGTCTTGCCAGGGAACTGCAGGACATCAGCAGCCGTCCACAGAGCACTTTGAAACAGGGTCTGGGTGCCAGGGGAAGGAAGGGAATTCAACCCAGGTGACTCAGGTTGTGGTCTCTGCCCCAAAACGACCTGTCCAGCAAACCATGCATCATTGATAACAACAAAGTCTGCTGGGACTGCAGCATTTCCTCCCCGTCCATAACTTTTACTTGTCAAGCTCACACTACACAAAATACAGCTTCCTACAGCTAAGGAACCATCATCTGGCTGAAAAAAACCCCATGAAACGCTGACAAAAATAGGATTCCTGGCTAGGCCTTGTTCTCTAAAAAGGATGCTACCACTTACAGAGAGGAAAGCAACCTTTTCTAAGCCAAGATTAATTACAATTAAAAATGGGAAATTTGAGAAAGACGGTACAGAGGTACCCACCAGCTTCAGCCTGCCACTCCAACAGGGTCACACAGGTTACTGCAAAAGCTGGCTCACACCCTGCAAGATGCTGTCATCATTTAGGGCAATATTTCAACACCGCTTCATAGACTATAGTATTTCTCGTTGTTAGACAGGGCGAGATCCTCCCAGGAAACATCCCTCTGTTGACCTCAGCCACATGCATGGAAAGTTTGTTTGACTTAGGAGGCTCACCACCCACAATCATGGAGCATCACCCTAGGTCTAGGCAACGTGAGGGCACGTTGCACAGTTGTGGTAAAGTACGTGGACCACACCACAAGCTTGCAGTTTGGTCTCAGACACAGGACATCCTTGGTCTTACCTGAGATTCCTCAGTCCGCCTAGCCCGGGGAGTTTCTATAGATCCATTGATGTCCAGGGTGTCCTTCTGCTTATGTTTCCTCATGATCAAGCTGTCCACAACCCAGAACATAATGGCCTTGGGGAGAAAGAAGTTACATGAATAGATTGCAGAAACCAAAGTCATTCAGTCACAGCTATTTCTTCTCCTTTTTCTTTCTCCATATATCCAGCCTTGATCAACTTAATTTAATATCTAAATTAACCCTGCATCAAGTGTGTCCATGGGGGTTGGATAAGTCAAATTCCTGAGGTCTCTTCTCATATAAATCCTATTGATTTCACAGCTGTTGAAGACCCAGAGGGGAAAAAAAAAAAAAAAAAAAAAAAAAGACTACGATAGGCCAAGTTTCCACCAAGAAATAACCATTGAACCAAGCTCCATCCACAGTTCATCGGCTCTGTCTGCACCAGTCCCTGGTCAGTTCTGTGAGAACCAGAGTTTGCTCTCCAAAAAGGAAACACAGCCTGAGGCGGTGGAGAGGGGCTGGTAGCAGATGCAGCATCCAACGCTGCATCCACTGCAATGCTTGTGGTATGATTTGAAAAGAGTTCAACTCACTCCCTGTCCAGGTGGCATCTGAATAGTAACACCTTGTTCTCATTCCCGTCTTAGCAGGGACTGAGCAGCAGGTCAAGGATTACCCAGAATCCGGGGCATCAGGAAAAGAGCTGAGCTTTCAAGAGGTTTTTCCAAACTAGTTTTGAGGAGATCAATAGTTTTGGGTAACCCGAACACCTTGCCTTGCTGTAATGCAATCTGTCGTCTAGCCAAATGCCTAGATAGACAAGCTGCCAAAGGTCACCACTGACAAACCATCCTATAGGAACTTAAAGGGTTTTGGGGCATCCCCATGCCTGTAACTTGCTGCAGAGATGGAGCCCTCAGCTAATGAGCTCCAGCTGTCTTCAAAGAGCTAAAGAGTCAGCCACCCGGCAGCTTGGACAAGGGAGTGGGAATTAGGACCACAGCAGTGCAGCAGTGACAGATCTGTGTATTCATGGCAACAAGTATATTTGTTTCCACTCCCCTCCACCCTGTCTCAGCCACTTCAATTACTCAAGGCCGCCCCAAGCCAGTTTCTGTACATGCTCTCTATTGAGGTCTCTATTGACCATGATTTCCAAACCGCCCCACCCAGTGCTTGCAGAGGCATCACTTACATTGACTATGAAAGGCACAACAAGCATGACCAGGACAAGCTCCAGCTGAGGGTTTGGGATGTAACCCAGGAGGATCTGCTGAAGCTGCAGAGAGGAAAGCATTTAGAACAATTATTTGAACAGCTCTGTGGTGAGATCTTTGCTGCAAATTGGTTTCCTTCTTACACCAGCAGTCTCCTACAGCTAGGGCTCTGCAGCCTTCGCTTTAGCCCAGCTCTTAGAAAGATCACGTGTGCTATTCCTTTAGTCCAGCTGCCAAACGCATGATTTTGTACAGAGCAAGAAAGAATTACTACTAGTCTTTCAGAGTAACTACTGATCAAAACAGCTGGTGGGACTTTCCTTGGCTCCTTGGAGCCTAGCTGCAAAACAAGGACACCAGCCGTGCGTGATAAGCATGGAGAGGAATCCAGCAGCATCTCTGGATCTATCAGTGCGTGCTGCTGAACAACATGTTCACATCTGAGTCCAAGGACAGTAGGCTGCTGGGTCTGAAGCACAAGCCCTGAACAGGCACAGATAAGTGCTCCCAGATTGCTGTAAATAACTCTTCAGTCAAGTCACATCAGCCTGTGAGGTACTAGACACTACGTGCAAACGCACTCAAAACTGGAGTTACCCATTGACTCCCAGAATTGTCTTTTATACCCATCACACCTACGTGCCACCATGTATGTGGCTACAAGTGACATAGATTACTATTTTTAGTTTTTAAAAGAGAAACTGATGACCAACACAATTACTATTGCATGAACTACCATACAGAAACAGCTGGGGGGTGGGAGAAGGACAATGTGCTACTTGGATAGTTCTTTTCAAATTTAGTATACCTAATTTAGGTATGGGATCCCGAAACCCCAGCATGAACTGACTGGACAAGATAATGTAGAAATCCTCTGGCAGAACTGAAGCAGCTGAGCTGCCAGCCCAGCCCATTTTATCCTTCCAAGGATGGAAAATTAAATTAAAGCAGCATCTTATTCCCCTAGTTTTTGACTAGCGAGAGAATGTACCAAAAGCCAAACTGTTACGAAAATCATGTTTCCCCAAACTTAAGTAATAGCTAATTATTACAGAGAGATGTCAACAAGTCATAAGGATTAAAGACCTATGATGATAAGGACCACTAATAAGGCAAAGCTGACAGAAACAAGCCACAACAGCTGAGGCTCGAAAAATACAGCTCAGGATCTTACCTTTGTCCAACCAGGGATAAGCAAGACAAGGCTAATCACAGTCTTCTCAAAAACCATTATCAGCAAGTAGAGGATACACTGGCCGATCCAGGCAGCAGCTTGTGGAGGGTCACCTGGGAAAACAGCGCATTCAATCTGAGACAGAGGACAGGAGGAGACAGCCTCGCAGAAAAGTCGCCTCATGCTCGATACCCGAGCTGATCAGAGGGACAGGGAAGCGTTTCCATATTGCAAGTTCTGCAGTGAGACAAATACTCAACGCCAAGCTGAAAATTAGCCGAGAGATTTTCTATCTATGGTTGTATGAGAATGTGCCTGGAGTAGAAAGGTTTGGTGTCCCTGCTGGGTCTACGAGTCATTACTCCACTGAAGATCAAAACATACTACAATTTAAGCTCAAATCTTTCTAGTTTAAAAAAAAAAAAAAAAAGTAAATTACTTGTATTAGAGAACATTTAACAGACTTGCATCCCTCACTAGTTGCAGCTCATTTTGCATCTTTGCAAACTGATGTAGAGAAATAATCATGGAAAGGGGAAAATGCATCCCACTCCCATTTGTGCAGACTCCCTGTATCAGGGCAGCTATTCGGCTTTCCTACTGCAGTTGTGCTTCTGAATTCAACTTGGCTATAAGCAAGAGAGCTCTCCCTCATGAGACACAACACGCACCGCTACCACCACTGGCTTTTTGTTCTAGAAGTTGGTTCTCTTTTTGTACTCCTTTTAAGGCTGATTCAGAAACAGAGATGGCAATTAAGTAGACTTCTGGTTAATTTGAAGGGCAAGCAAGTAACAAATTTCAGACATGACTAAAAAAGCCCTACCTACCTAGCAGATGCTAACACTACATGTATTTATCTCCTCCTGTCCTGCTCTCCATTCCACCAACCTGCCTCTGAAATCCACCCAGAGGAGAAAACCACCAACAAAAATCTCATCTTGCACCTCCTCCCCCATTGCCTGTCCCTCCTAGATCAACAGCTTTGCTGGAGCAAGAGTCCTACAAATGTCCTACAAGGCAGGCAGTCACCTTCTGTAAAGGGAAGAGACACAGCTCTGGCTCTGCCTAAAGACCTGAAATTCCATCACTTGCAGACACTCCTGGTCTCTCAAAGGCCGCAGCCGAGCAGCAGCACAAATGCTTAATGGAAAAGCCATTCCTGGTAACTATAAGGAGATGGGATTAAGTTTTATGAATCTTGGTTTGGATAACAAATATGCTCTCCTCCACTTGGGGGAAAAGGACACACAGCCTTGGAGATATATGTTTTCCCTCTCCCTCTCCTTCTCCATTGCCAGTGTCCACCATACAGTGTTGAGCTACTTTGAGTTGGATGGATACAGGGATTTGAGAGGAGGAAGCCCAGCTTGTGCAAGAGGCCAAGTATCCCATCTCCTCAAAGACCACTAAAATCCTTTAATAGGGAAAGCTCGAAAGCTCAGAAATCTCATCATCCTACTCAAATGGTTCCTTACAAGCATGTGTTGCTTTGGAGCATCAGTCATTTGGTTTCTGCCTTCTCTGGTACCCTTTTTTCAAGGTGCCAGACATTTCATTTCTCTTCACCTTAGCAAACCTAGAAAAGACTGCAGAGATGGGTCCCCCCGACTTTTCTCCCACCCTTCCAGTGGATAGGAACCTCATAGGAGTAGCTCACAAAATCCTGGAGCATTTTGACCAGCATGGCAGACTGATAATCCCTTCTGAATTAAAGCTAATCCCAATAGCAATCCCCAAGACATGATACTGCTGGACTGACCCTCCTCTATACAAGGATCAGTTAATATCCTGCACACTCCCCTATAAAAAAAATAAATCAAATAAATCAATCATCAAAGACATCCCCTGCCAAGCCTTACCCACCCAGTTGCCAGCAATAGTCTGAAAATTTCTGGTCACCATTTTCAATACAAGAAGCATAAATTTTCAGTTCTGAAAAGAATTAATTTTTTTGCTGATGAAGTGAGCGCCTGGTTATGTGATACTCGCTGTCTGCGGAAGAGACAGGGGCTCCATCGCCCCAGGTTTTAGAGCAATTCACTTGAGCAGAATCAATGCTAATTAAATATGAATGTTTCCAATGGGGTACTCACCAAGTAATAAGTAAAAGCATATTTGTATTGTTAACAATGATAATGGTACCGTATCTATTACATGTGCTTGCTTCAGCCCTCTGTAAGCACCCTGCCAGCTGGTTATCACCTTCCCAGGCTCATCACAATATCTCAGGTCTGCAAAACTGAGTTACAGTATCTGGCTTTCGGACAAGCTACAGCATTTCCTCTTACCACCTGAATATAATGATAACCCCTGGCAATGCTTATTTCCAGCATAATTGGGCCAGAATTTGTAATCGCATCTGTGTGAGAGAACCCAACCCACTGTGGGATGCTGATGCTCGACCCGCTGTCGGACAGCAGCGGATCGGGGGCTCTGCCCCACTTTTCTCAGCACTGTGCCGGTGAGACGTGGCAGGGGAAGGCAACACCAGCACGTTTGCAAAAGCACGTTTATCCAAACCACTATGCAAAGCTCCAGCCACAGAGATCAGCAGCACACACCAGGATTTAATAAGAGCTGGTACCCAACCAAGCCCAGCTCGAGGGGGATCTGCTTCCCAGCACGGGCAAAACAGGTTTGCGTGTATATTTGTCCTTAGTCTGGCATTTTGTTAGCAATGTACCAAAACGTTTGCCTCGTTGCAAAGCTACAGTTAAGAAGTAGAGGCATCCAGCTAGTGTCCCCATGCCAGAGACCTCAGAGTCATCACCTTGTGTCCCAGAGTTTTAATTGCTCCAGCTGTGATCAAGAAGGAAGCAAAGGAGGGGAGAGGGAAGGACAGGGAGACCAAGGGTGCAGAGAGGCTGCTGAGCTGCGAGGACAGCAAGCAGAGAGCGCGCCAGGCCAGCAGGCAACTGCATGGAGGGAGGGAAGGAAGAGGGAGCCAGGGAGGTTACGTGTGAGCACACGCAGCAGAGCCCACAGAGGATTTCAGAGAGCGCACGTCTCCGCTCCCTGGCAGGCAACAGCTTAATGGGTGGTCTGCGGAGGAGACGGGACAAGTGTTATAGGCAGCTGGCAGTTAAAAGCCGGTGTCAGAGAGGCTTTGATCCTCCTGAAGCGCGGACGGCCTCTCCCGATAGACTCCAGTGCCTAGTTTGGCACAGTGGGGCTTTTTGCCCCATACGCCAAGACCAACCAATTCTACAAACCCCCAGGTTACCATCACCCATCAGAGCTCTGAGGACAAACAAAACAGGAAAACAAACACATCCATCGTATCCTTCCTGCATTTGAACTCTTTAAAAAAAAGTCAGCTGTGCTCTGGCCCCCGTGGGGAGATGGAACTCATGGCCACGGCACCCTTTGCAAGTCGGCTCTTCTGTGCAGCAGTCACCATAGCACTTGTCCAATCCTTCACTCCGCTGTTTCAGCTTGCCCAAGAAGCAACGGCAAGTTTGAGATCTCTCCAAAATACCTGCTCCCTCACACCCTTTTGGGGATAGAAGGTCACTACTATTCTACAGGAGAGTGGGGAGGGACTGTTTACAAGGGCATGTAGTGATAGGATGATGGGGAATTACTTTAAACTGGAAGCGGTCAGGTTAAGATTAAACATTAGGAATAAATTTTTCACTTTGAGGGTGGTGAGGCACTAGAACAGGTTGCCCAGAGAAGTTGTGGAAGGTCCATCCCTGGAGGTGTTTAAGGTCAAGTTGGAGGGGGCTTTGAGCAACCTGGTCTGGTGGGTGTCCCTGGAGGTGTCCCTGCCCATGGCAGGGGGCTTGGACCTAGATGATCTTCAAGGTCCCTTCCAACCTAAACCATTCTATGATTTTTATAGCCATCTCCCACCCTGATAGAAATAAATATCCTCCTTCACCCCGAAGGATGCACACACTACATTTGGATAGTTCTCCTCCAGCAGCATTGCAGGTGCTCCCCACCCCACCATCAGCAGTACCTCCTTGGTGCAGAGTTAGGACCACTGGTGTCTGCAGCAGCCCCACACAAATGTGTCTCATATTCCACGTGTGCGTGGAAGCCCAACCGCTTGCAGAGCGAAAGCAGCACTGCTTGAGGTATTCAAGTTGTTACCACACAACAGGATTAGTTTTAATCCAGGCTGTCTAATGTACCGAGCTGTCAGCATAGCCCACGTGTTACTGGCACACAGCTTTATTTACAGTCTTTTGGGGACTGTGCATGCACCGAGCAGGTACGAAAAAGCTTAACCACAGCCAAAGCAGAGGGTTTCAGGGAGGCTGAGGAAAAGCAAACATTTGAAAACACTGGAAGTTGTACTGGGTGACAAGGTGGGGATGGAAAAAGTCAATAAAAACCTCCTCAGAGATACTCAAATGGTACCTCCAAAACCAAGGGATCTAGCTATCAGTGCCAAGTACAAAGGAGGATAAGAAATAGCAGTAAAGCATCTAAATTGCACAGAAATGCTCACTTTGAGTGCAAGAACAGGTTTTCAGAGATTGGGGCCTGACCCATCAGAGCAGCCAGATGGGTCCAGTGGACATCCCAGACCCTCTCTGCCATGTTCTGCATCTGAACTAAAAGTAAGCATACAGCTTAAGTCAGCCCGCAGGTTGCAGTGTCACACCACTGCTCTGGGTCTTCGGTCCCCGGAGATACTGCTTATTGCAGCGGGGTAAACACTGCTGCTACCAGCCCGATCCAGGAGGTTCAAAGCTTTGTACCCCTGCTCAGAACACACATTCGACCATTTGAGGATGCTCCTCGGTCTTCTCCTTACTTTTTTTCCTTATTTTTTTCCCCCCTGGTCCTAGGGGTGGAAAGGCCAGGCTCGCTAAGGACACGACAGCCCCTCAGGTTAGAGCTATTCTCAGCAGTATTTCCTCAAGCCTTAGCAGCCAGCTCCCTTGGCTGCTTCAGGACGTGGGAATATTTGTTATGGAAATTTTGTACAACATCACAACAGGGCCAAAAGCAGCCTACACAGGTCCTCAGTTAAACTCAGCAGCTGGCACAGAGCATATTCTCCCTACAACTAAATTTGACTAGCAGAGTTCAACAGGCCACTAAACACACTGCAAAGCCCTCCAAGCAACATGCCTTTCCATTTCCAGACAGTGAATGAGCACAAAGCATCGAGCTTAGACTAGTCAGTGACCGCAACCATAGTTGTACACAAGTCTGCATCCAGATGGGCAACCAGAGAGGCATTTTCAAGCAAGAACACCCTCTTTTTCTCCTCATCATTTCTTAATGCTCCTCTTCAGCATTTTACCCGCACATTGAAGAAACCATCTCTTAAACCAAAATTGATAGTGTTTGCTTACCTAAAACAAATACTCCAGTATTCCTAAAGTTTAGAGTTATTCCTAAACTTTAGAGTTATTAGACACATCTACAATGAGATGACACTGCAGCTGTCCAGAGCTTTCCTCTAGGGAGCTGCTTATTGCCATGGGAATGAGGGAGGGAGAAGAGGGCTGGAGCAATTTGGAGATGGGGCACAAAGCTGAACCAGGCTTCATCTGCATGCTCTGACTCCAGCCAGCATCTCCCCTGATCAGTCTATACAGACCCAGCAGCCCCTCCAAGACCTTGGGTATCCATCTCCCAAGTCCTTTGCAGCTTTAGCTCTGCTCTCCTCCCCGCAGAAGTCCCCTACAGGGAGAGCACGTATAGACATGGCCTTCTGCTACCCTGCTAAAGCAACAGTGAACAGAGCGTTCGTGGAGTTTGTTAGCTTTGAGTATGTGTAAGGCAACCATCGTTCTCTAAACCCTACTTGAATCAAGATCAAGAATAAACTTCTCCAGTCTTTGACCCAAGCGTATGCAGAAGAGACAGCAGCCTTTAAAAACGCAGTCCAAAGAGTAATCAAAAGCTGTCAGGCAAAGAAGGAGGAACATAAGCATATGTGAGCCTTTGACTCTCCACTAGCTAAAAAACAGGTCATTCCTGGCTGCAGCAGTCTTTGGCTACAAGCTCAGGCACAAGAGAGGCTGATCTCGGCATGGGTGTCTCCTGTGGTTTTTTTGTTTGTTTTTTTAAATACTAAAGTAATTGCTGTTTCTAAACAGTTCTGGACAACTGGATGTTTAAAATAGCAGCGTAGATTTAGGTGCTTTCCCTTCCCTTTTCTCTGCTTCTCCATTAAAGGAGCTATTTCACTCACACAGGGAGAACCACCCATGGCTGCGGAGACAGGGGTACCAACAGCAGAGCAGAAGGGACTGCTGGAGCCCAAACCAAAGCATAACTGCAGCAGTTTGCATCAGTTGCAGGGATGCAACCAAGAGCTGGAGGGTCAGAAAGGAAGTACCTGCAACAGATTTTTTTCTTTTTCCTCCCCTTGAAGACTGTGCAGGTAGATGGGTACTGGCTACACTGGACAAAGACGTAATTGCTCGTTCCTGATGGTTGGAGCAACGGCACTCACCGCTCTGCGCAACATGGATTTGGAGCTTTCCTGCCCTTCCTTCTCTGCAGCACTGCAAGAGATGCTTTTGCTCCTCAGGAGAATTGAGGAAAGCAACATAAAGTCTGCTACAGCAATTAGACCAGAATGTGAATCATATCTGGAGCCTGTATCAAACTGTACAAAGTTTACTAGCATCTTCCAAACTGCTTTGGAAGTTACTTAACACCCGAGATGAGGACAGCAGTGCATTGGACATGCCACTTGACTCCTACCAACTTTTCCATCGTGGTCAGTCTGGCTGGAGACCTGCACCAACAGCAGTGCTCAGTGGATGAGACATTTAATCCTCAATTCAAGCAACAGCATGATTTTTTTTTTTTTTATTAATGAAAGCAAGATTTCCTCAGAGGAGTGAGCAGTTTCTGTAGTCTGAGCCAGCCTTCACGAGGGGCCAGCTACAGCTCAACAGAAGTTCATTACTGCTCTGCAAGGTTAGAGCAAGCTGTCAATACACTTTAACGTTCCCTCGCTTCTGCTCAACTGCAGACGTGGCACATGGAGCTAAAGCTGTGCCCTGGGCTGGCTGCAGTTGGGCTTTGGGTCCTTGTTGCTCAAAAGGGGAAAAATGCCAGTCCCTGAACCAGGAACATCTGGATTCCTCTACCACCTCATCTGAATAACTTTAGTGCTCTGTGCTTGGCTCCCTCAGCTTTTTGAGAAAGAGCCATCAGGGGAAAAAAGGCAGTCCCCACAAAATGCGTGCTGTCAGGATGCTGAACCTGCTCTGGAGACCACTAGCCTTTAAAGCCACTCTCAGGTTTGATGAGGGTCCGCCCTGCCACATCCCATCATTTCAACCCATCTGTTGTCATCTCATGCCCAGTCTGTAGCTGCTTCTGCTGTCTCACAAACGCAACCATCCCCTTCATCCTGTGCCATGACCATTTATACATGCTGAACGTGAGCCTGAGTAAGGGCTCACAAGGTCCAGGTTCCACCAGCTCAGTTATCAGACCAGCTACTAAAACCACAAAGGAATGAGACTACCTTCAGAATAGACTTAATGATTAAGGTCTTAAAGGTGGGAATGTGATTGGTATGAATAGGATGTTTTTTTCTAAATTAAGCCTGAATTCGTCTTTATATTAGGTAAATGTAAAATAGGCAAAGGGTTAATTTTTCCCTTTCCTGCAAACGCAGAGAAGCGCTGCTCTCCTGGAAACGGGCTCTGCTCTTTCTGAAGAGAAGTGCTACCCTCTAGTGGGGCTGGCTGGGAAAGGCTTTTCTGACACAGTTTGCTTTCTTCACCTCAATACAGGAATCGAAGCAGCGAGGTTGCCAAACTGGGGCAGCCTTAAAATTACTTTTTTAACATCAGCTAGCAAGAAAAACCCCAACCAAACAAACCCTAAAGTCATTTGAAAACTCAGTTTTGGGGCCAGTCTGTGTCTTGCTGATGCCTACAGCTCAAGGCAAATGCAAGAACAACTCTGTGTTCTGAACTGAAGGGCTAGGGGAAAAAAAATTAAAAATCATAGAATGGGTTTAGGTTGGAAGGGACCTTGAAGATCATCTAGTTTCAAACCCTCTGCCATGGTATGGGACCCCTTCCACTAGACCAGGTTGCTCAAAGCCCCATGCAACCTGGCCTTGAACACCTCCAGGGATGGAGCATCCACAGCTTCCCTCAGCAACCTGTGCCAATGTCTCATCAAAGAACCCCACAGAAGCCACCACCACAGCACCCAAATGCCTTCATTTACCATACGCATGTCCTGGGTTACATTATCTGCCCAAGGAAATGTTCAGCCTTTCATCACCAACCTGCTACACCGAAGTAGCCTTAGCAAGGCGTCAGGCAGGGTTACCTGCAACCTAGTGATGTCCCAGCATTTAACACACTGATCACTACCACACTCTGTGAGCTCCTTGCAGAAGAGGTAACACAAGGAGGTTCCTCACATGTTTTCTCCCCAAACCTCAGTTTCTGACATTTTCTTATCCTCATCCACAGCTGGAAGCAAACGAGCCACCGTTGTGTGGAGCGGTTGACACCTACCATATTCTCCGAAGACCAGGTATGTGTACTTCTTATGGTGTACGATCCAGGAGACAACTTTCACGCCAAGCCAGATCAGCAGCATCCCCAGCGTGGCATCAAGGATGAAATTAATAAGGTAGCTAAGAGCAGAGGAAAATTCAGGTTTCAGTTATGTTCTTAAGTCTAATTCAACATCTTTTATTTCAATATGAGTATCCACAAAAAACATAAGATTTAAAAAGTTCCCACTGAATAGTCCACACTCACCGCCTTTCTCTTTTATTGGATTTTCCTATATCATGAGTTTCAGGGAAACAGAACCAAACGTTTTTGGAATTTCATGCAAGAAAACGGAAGCTTGTTGGACACCACAGCTGCTCTGCAAACTGTACAGCAGAAGAGGCAAAGAAGTCCATTTTACTGGGCAGCTGCAAGAGGGTCCTGTGAGCCGAGATGCAGGCTGAGAGGCAGAAGGTCTTGGGAGAGGCAACAAGCCCTGGCTCAACAGCAGACATTCAGAGGTCCCCAAAAGCCTCCAGTTCAGGGTCCCCGCTGCAGATCCAGGAGCTGAACCCATTCCTGCCAGGAGATTTTTGTCTGACAGGTTTGCTCTGCAGCTTTGGATGTTTCAGCCTTACTGGACAGAGCGCCAGAAGTAGGAGACCTGCAGGGACCTTCTGGGGATTGCAGGGTCCAAGTTCTAATCCAGGGCTTGGTATTTTAATGAACTCCAGAGGAAAAAAAATAATAAAAAAAAAAATCTCCCAGACTAATGTTTTCTGGCCAGTTTTCCATTATTGGAATATTTTCTGCCAAACCAGGCCAGATTTCTACAGTGCGAGGAAAATACCAAGCACAGAGCTACAGGAATGAACATTTCCTTTTCCAGAACTTGATACTGCCCCTGAATAAAGACACTGAAAATAACAATCAGCTGCCGATACTCATTTTGAAAACACGACATTAAGTTTTTCTACATCCAAAGGTTCAGACTAGCTTATTACAGTTTCCAGCTGCTGAAATCGGAGTACTCCCATACAAACACGAGGCTCTGGTGGTTTATACTGGGCAGGACACGTAGCATATAAGCCTCAGAGCCCAGGGATGGGGCTGTAGAGTTTAAAGCTGCCTGGTCCAGGATTACAAGTCAGGCAACACAGGGAAATGTAAAATGCACATTAAGAAAAAAAAAACCAAAAAAACAAACCCAAACCTGAAAGGCAAAGCATAAGCGCAAAAGGGTTTAATTTAAAAAAATGTCTATTTAAAGAAAACAATGGCGAAACATTGTGAAGGTTATATTTAGCCTCAAACTTGTGTCTGTTTAAAGACACGTACCAAGGTGCTGCACTTTAATATGTAAAAAGGAGACAGCCAGTTTTCAGCAGCATTTTGAAGCCTAGCGGAGTTTCTCAAAAGAGGATAAAGTCAATTCTGAAACTAAATTTGTAGCTGCAAAGCAGCTGGTCTGAGGTAAAGGTGGCACTTCTACGATAAGTCCAAATTCCGGCCTAGAAAGCCCTCAAAATGGGATTATATGAATACACCTGCTAGGTGCAACTGTAGCTCAAAAAAGAAAAAAGCCATCCTTGCGTTGGACAAAGACCTTCACCCACACAGTTCGAAAAGCGTCCTCAACACCGGTCAGAGCCCAGACACATTGCAAAGTCTGGTGTGCAAACAAATGGCCCATTTATCAGTTGCGATCGCATCGGGCACCACTGTCATGTTTACTGCAGTTTTTTCCAATAGATATCAAGGTGCTTTTAATAACCAGCAAAGCACAGTCACACTGCCTTATCTCCATCAGACCAGGAGACTACAAAGACCAGGAGACAACCCAGACTCTGAAAATAAGCTCAGCATGGTTTATCCCCACCTTGTACTTTAAATGGCGCAGTTTCCACTGTATATGACATTTTAACAGACTTGTTTCTTTCTTTTACAGATGTGGGACAGGAACGCAAGCACATGTGTACTTACAGAGAGCAAGGGTCCTCTTCAGTAAGATCTGACAGAAAAACATTAGCAAAGTGGATGAAGAGGGCACCTATTGCTTGCTTGGAGGTATCATAAAACCTGGAGAAAGAAAAAAGGGCATAAAGATTAGAACAAGAGGTAACGGGCATGAACTTGAACATAGGAAGTTCCACCTAAACATGAGGAGCGACTTCTTTCCTTTGAGGGTGGCAGAGCAGTGGCAGAGGCTGCCCAGAAAGGTCGTGGAGTCTCCCACTCTGGAGCCATTCAAAACCCACATGGACACCGTCCTGTGCAACCTGCTGGAGGTGACCCTGTTCTGGCAGGGGAGTTGGACTAGATGATCTCCAGAGGTCCCTTCCAACCCCGACCATTCTGTGATCTGTGCCCTGGAGCACCAGCAGCCACCCAAGTGAAGGCTCTGCATGGATCTGCTTTCCGCTAAGCTGCATTCCTGATGCCTAAGAAGTTGTACATGGTGGAAGTGGACAGTTTGACTGACTCCGGATACTTAAGAAAAACAGACAGCACCTCAGCATGTAGCAGCTCAGTCTGGCAGATCTGCTCCTGACACTCGCTGCCGAGTTTTAGTCTGCAGCGAAGGGCAGTTCACCCTCCAGGGCCCAGCCCCAGTTTCTCCAACCAGCAGTAGGTGCAGGGAACATGTTCAGCTACTGGCAACTTTTGTACTCATCCACTGGGAACTGGATTGAATTCCCAAGATATTTTAGAGGGAGAACTAAACTGAGGACACTGACATGTTTTTCATCACTAACGTAGCTCTGCTGCCAAGCCAGCCTGACCATACCCTAATTTCACCCATACGTCCACCTCTCGGCATACGGTAGATCCTACAATAGAGGGAGGCTTTGTAGAGGTGTCCAAAGCTGACAATAACACTCAACTACCTTCCACCAACACAGCCAAATGCGTTGCCTGGCCTACGCCTGAGCTGGGTCAGGGGACACCAAAGTCATTAATTGACTTCAAGAACATAACTTGACCCTGTCTGGGAGACAGCTCACATGCAGGTGTGCCAGCAGATCGGAGAGGGCCATAACCCCTCGGTTCAGTCACCTGCAGTAAAAACAAGCTTTCCTGGGGGAACTAGGCAGGGAATTTTGCTTCTAAAGAGCACCACCTACTTCATGGAGTTTTCCTTGGGAAGTGGCAGCACAGAACTTCCTTTAACGACTAAATACCATGCAGGATATTCAAAGGGCCCAGGAGATTGTTAGTATAAGAGAAAATAATATTACAGACACGTGGTCCTTTCAATCTCCAAATTAAAAATCTCACCATATCCTCCAGGGACGCCTCTCTTCCTTTGGTTCCTTAAATCGTTTTACTGCAAAGAAAATTAGAGAGGTTACATTAACTGGTAGAGATGAACCAATACATATGTGCAGTCTGTGTTGATCTTCAATGCAGCGGCCGTCAAAAAAAAAAAATCTGGAGGACCCTCAACATTTGCCAGCCTAAGCTGAGCAAAGCCAAAGGATCTGGCTCCAAAATGACCAGAGGCAATGCATGCACCCACAGGTCAGATGGATGAACAGCAGAGGTGTCCAGGAGGTATGTGGGTGCTTCTGGCATCCTTCAGCAGTGGCATTTTCATGCCACGAGAAGTGACCCGAGGGAAGCTAGGGAAGGTTCGTCACTACCTACCAGCTCTAATAATTCTTCCAGAGAAATAAAAATTATGGTAGCGACAGTGAAACAATATGGCTCAAGTCCGTTAAGCTTTTGAGTCACAGCAGCGCAATAAAGCCATCTCCTCCTTGCAGCCAACAGGATCAGACCACTTTCCACACATCTCCAGCATAAAGGTACCAGTGCCAAGCCACAAAGTCCTGCAAGCGGGCATGGCTCCAAGTTTGTGACAACATTATTTCATTACACAGTGATTTGCATGCCCACTGGCTACCACTGTAGAGCAGCAGTCCAAGGCGCATGGCTTCAGTACCACCAACCTGGAAAAGATATTTGAAGCAACTCTTCCTTGAAAATATTCAAGGTGAGGTGGGATGGGGCTTTGAGGAACCTGATCCAGGTGGAGATGTCCCTGCTTATTGCAGGGGGGTTGGTCTAGATGGCCTTTAAAGGTCCCTTCTGACCCAAACCATTCTATGATTCTTTAAATGAAGTCCCGCAGGACATAGATGAGTTTGCTCCTTGCAGCCCTTCGGGTCTGCCCTCCTCTAAGGAATCCTCTGGTGGTGTCTATTGCAGTTGCTGCTCTGAGCTCTCTCTTGTTACTGCCTGAAGATAACAGCAAGTTGGATTTTTACCTAGTTTTGTTCAGAGTGGGATCTGCAGAAGGTGGGGTGGGCACTGCAGAAGCATCTCAAAGGGTCCCAGTTAGTTTGTCAGAGATTTGATGCTCTTCTTGGGGTCAGTCAGCTTTTACATGTGCAAATAGGAGCTGCTAATGTAAAAATACCAAGTACCACATCCCATGCAGAAGACATTTTTTGACTGTTTTGCTGTCAGTCCAGCTAGAAAGCCATTTTAGAAAGCACCAGCTACCAGGCCAACTCTTCTGCAAGTACCAATGCTCTGGAACAGGCAGACCTGGAAGAGGCTTTTCCACTACATTAGCCTTACTATTTAGAAGAAAAAAAAAAAAAACAAAACAAAAACCAACAAAACCAAACCAAAACAAAAGGAAAGGGCATTCAGTGGAACTGTCTTGCTTTGTGGTAAGGTTCCTAGTAGAGCTACATCTAGAGTTAGAGACATCGTCATTACAGCTGCTGCCCGAGCACGCTGCCTCCAAACTTCAGGCAGATGCAGAGGGTACAGATGCCCAGTCTCACCACGGCCTCTGGAACTGCTCTCCTCCTCAACCAGTACTAATAAGCTGAAGATGGACTGAGGGTTAAATCTGCCACAAGCAGCTCCCAAACACACTGTCAGCTTGAACAGGACTCAGAGTTAAAAATAATGAGCTATGACTTTTTTTTTTTTGGAGGGAAATGGAAAAATGTAACTCAGTGCATCCTCTCTAACTCCTGACAGTCCAGCCAGGGACGCAAGTAGAGCAGCTGCTTGGTGGTGCCATCTAGCGAAACCAGGAGCCTGAAAGCAGCAGGACACATGAGGATGAATCAATATGCAATGTACAACCCTGTTAGAGAAGCCATCCCAGGAGTATATATTGTGTTAATCACCAAATCCTTCTATACATCGCAGCTGTGCCCGAAACCAGTCAGATCACTGCAATGAGTACTGAAGAGTACACAGACTGCAGAAGTGCAAACAGACCATCAGTTAATCTATTTTGTCATCACTAAGCCTTCACCCTTGGGAGCCCCGTAGCCTACCTCATTCCTTTAAAAAGTGACCAAAAGCCAGAAAAGACACACACACCATCCCACTTGTCACAGCTGTTCTTTCTTCATCGCCCCCACCTACATGTAATCAACTGCTGCCTTCAAATGTACAACCAGCACAAGGACTCTTCTCACTGCTGACAGTTCTTGGCACATGGGGACGCTTCCCAAGACAACTTGGGGATGTAAAAAACAGGGCCCAAGGGTGCCATGGATGAAAGCAGGGGCTTCAGAGCCACATGCTTCCGCCTGCTCTCCAGTGACACTCCCACAAAGGAGACGCACTTGTATAGATGCGAGTTTTCCTACTGCCTGTGGGAGGAACAAGGCACAAGCAACATCACTGGTCTATTTTAGATCACTAACGCTGCTGATAAGGCCAGCACAATTCTAAACATAACCTGGTATCCGGCGCTCTTTCCAGATTTACATTCCACCCACTGGTTAGCCTTTCAGTTAATGAAACTGCTGAGAAACTAACAGCTTCTGCTCAAGTAAAAACCACCCTTTTGGAGCCAGGAATTGATCTAATCCAGGCACATCACCGTAGCTGGTCCCATGGGCATCCCATAAAACACCCACAGGGAATCTGACGTGTTATAACCCACAACAAGGGGTTTTCCTCCTCTGCTCTGTCGGGAAATACACAGCTTTGACAGCACAGCTCATGCAGGCTCCACGTACCAGAAGACAAACTCACCCCCAAAAGCAGAGTCAGCAGCAGGTTCTGTAAAGCCTGGGAAGAAAAACCAAAACATTGGCTGGATACAGCTGATTTCTAAATGAAGGCCTCACTGCTGTTCTGCATCTACACAGTCATTAACGGATCTGTTCAGTCTGGCTGTACTTGAGCACTCAGCCTGCCAGCTGGAGTCCTACCACCCACCCTCAGGGACAGCCTGGGCTCATTCCCCTGGGAAACGCCTGCCTGGTCCAGCCTGGAAAGATGCAGGAACTTCCCTGCCAGAAGGCCTTGATGTTTCAAAAGTACAAGTTTGCACCTTGCTTGCTGGCAAGGTGATAGGGTGATACATAAAAAGACCATCCCCAACCCCAAGACTTTGGCCAGGCACGTGCAGGGGTTTCACTGCCACTCTCAAGTCCATAGAAGACCAGCGCTCCAATGACCTGATCCGCTATTGCCATTAATGGGTAACAAAGCAGCAGTCAGGTCAGGTTATACCAAGCATTTCCACAGCAGTTTGTGGCCTATCCCTGTCCAGACAAAAAACCACCTGGATTCCTTATCCAGCTGAATCCCACCACAAAATATCCCAAAAGCGATGACTTCCATCAGCACAAACAAGGTACACCATCGCTGATGCTTTTCAAAGGGCCACTACAGTTCACCCACCCACAAGCAAGAGACTTGTGGGCCAACCAAGCTGTTTGAGTGGCCACAAGTCTTTAAACAGAACCTAACCACCTTGCACAGCCCATGGGGCAAAGAGCACGATGCTGCAGAGAAGCTGTTGAAGGGGTCTGCAGGCCACCAAGCCAGTCAGCTGACTGCTAGCCCAACTGTTGAGAGCACCAGGGATGACTTTCATTATTGTCTTAATGAGAAGCGACATGTTATGTATCCACAGCCACTCAGGCTAGAAATACAGTAATTCAGTGTGATAAGATGACAAGTAAGAGGTAAGAAGTTAATGGTGTGGTGCCTTGTTGAACACAGCTTGTCATGCCTCATTAGATTTAAGAGAGTTATCCGAGACTGTGTAATTATCAGAGACAGTAAAACTGTTGTATTAAAGATAAAAGCTAGTATTATAGAGAAATAATTAACTGCGTAATAGGGCATTTACTGTGCGAAGCTGCAGCAGGCTGTCTCCAAATTAAACCAGAAATCCAGCCAAGATTACCAGAGCTTAAACAGGCAGCAGAGTTGTTTGGTAGCTGTGACCCAGAGGTTAGGGGTGATGCTAAATCCACACAAAAGTAGCACCAGGTCTTTGAAAACTCAAGGAGCTGGTGAAGTCCTCTCTGAAGCAGCACTGCTGCTTTTGTGCTTTGGGAGCACAGTAGGGCTCTGGAGCAACAGGCTGAGCAGCAACAGCAAAGTGTCCCTCTCCTCTTCCAAGCCCTGCAGAGAACCACGCTATGGCATGCACAGCCACAGGCTCAGCTGGTCGGGGTTGGAGAAAGGCTGAGGTCTCATTTCCTCTTCTCAAAATGCGTCTCCACTCACTGGGGTCAACTCACTTTTCCACCTATAGGCATGGGTTTGCTACCATGGCTCAGTCCACCCTTAAGATTTACTTTAAGAAGAGTTGTGCACGCTTATACATGCATCAAGCAAACAAGAAATATATGAAATTTAAATTCCAGCACCTACGACCAATAAAAACTTGAGTTTAGCGCACACAGAGCTGCACAGGATGAGAGAACCCCCATCCAACTAGATTAAAAATGAGACTAGTGTGTACAGATCTACACCAGAAGACATCAGGAATTTCCCAGGAAATCGTGGTTGACAGCCAGCTGAATATGAGCCAGCAGTGTGTCCAGGTGGCCAAAAAGGCCAACAACATCCTGGCCTATATCAGGAACAGTGTGGCCAGCAGGATGATGGCAGTGATCATCCCTCTGTTCCTGGCACTGGTGAGACCCCACCTTGAATGCTGTGTTCACTTTTGGGCCCCTCACTACAAGTAAGACATTGAGGTTCTGGAGCATGTCCAGAGAAGGGCAATAAAGCTGGTGAGGGGTCTGGAGCACAGGTCTTCTGAGGAGTGGCTGAGGGAACTGTGGGTGTTCCGCCTGGAAAAAAGGAGGCTGAGAGGAGATCTCATCGCTCTCTACAGCTCCCTGAAAGGAGGTTGGAGCGAGGTAGGGGTTGGTCTCTTCTCCCAAGTAACAGGCGATAGGACAAGAGGAGACAGCCTCAAGTTGTGCAAGGGCAGGTTTAGATTAGGAGAAATTTCTTCGCCAAAATGGTTGTCAGACATTGGAACAGGCTGCCCAGGGAAGTGGTGGAATTGCCATCCCTGGATGTATTAAAAGACAGGTAGATGTGGTGCTTTGGGACATGGTTTAGAGGTGGTTTTGGCAGTGTTAGGTTGATTGTTGGACTCAATGATCTTAAAGGTCCCTTCCAACCTAGACAATTCTATGATTTGTCTTCCCAACAGTGCTACCAGCCACAGTATTGATTATTTTAAATCTTCTCAGCTTCATCCATGTTTAAAGTGAGCCGACTTTTGCAAGGAAGCAACGTTACTGCCCATCTCTATAGCTAAGTGACCCCCCCAAACCGCCAGATACCTGCGAGCCTAGTCAGGGCAGCAGTGTGGACCACACCACAGGCCAGGAAAGCTCAGGTCCCCCAGCCTTCTGGCATGCATTTGCTTCTTGCGGGCCCACGTGCTAGTCATTGCTTTTTAAGTCTTTGCAAGCATGCTACACAGACAGAGTAAGGATCCCGATCTCATTTCGTGCTTCTTCACATCATCACTAAATAGGAAACTAGTCCTAGTAACAGACGAAGCAAGTAAAATTCACATGAACCTTTAGATTTGCCCCCCCCAAATATTTTTAAGGGGAAGAAAACACCAGTGGAAGTACAGGTGAGCTTTCAGGCAAATCTTTGAAGTCTAAAAGAATCAATGAGCCTCAAAGGTGAACGCAGGCTGGGAACAATTGCTCCAGGGTTCACTTCAAGCAGGGAAGCTTGAGAAATCAGTCTCAACTTACATATCCACTGGTGGTGTAAAGTCTGGATGTTTGCAGCATGTTTAGGGTGAGCCCTAGCTAGTGTCGATGGCCTACCTAGTCACCCCTGTTTTCACAGAGCAGAGCTACTCGTGTTCCAAAGAGCAGCAAATTTGGGAGTTGCGTCAAGTCAACTACCTCTGACAGCACAAACCCACCCAGCAGTGCTCACTGCTGCTGCAGGGACACCACAGGTTGATAGGAGATGCTGGGTGAAATAAAGCTGAACACCCCATGTTTGTGGCTGAGGGCCCTTATAACAGAGCTGGATGATACAGCAAACACTACAGCAAAAAAAAAAAAAAAAAAAAAAGGGTGCTAAACAGATAAAGATGGAGACTGCTTGTCCAGGTTCTTCCTGCAAGACCCAACCCTGCACCAAACCTATTTCAATCTGATCCTGACTTATTCCATTTGAATTCCAATTAACAGTAAAGTGGGTGGATGTCAACAGTAAAACAGCTCACACCGTAGAAATGAAGCCTTTCTGAAGGCAACGCAATGACAGTCCTCAAGAACAACAAAAATAAGCATCAAAGTCCCAACCTGAAGCATACAGGCTGCTCCAGGGTGCAAAGCCCTGCTGCAGCACAGAGGTGAAGTTCTGTGTGACCATTTAAATTTGCCACATGGTCTAAAGCATCTCAAGAAAAGGCTGGGCAGATGGGAAGATGCTCCTAGAAGGGTCAGGAGAAGAGGACCCAGGTCTATCCCATCCAACAGGAGTAGAGCACCACTGAGATGACACCCTGCCTTCTTGAGTTGGTGTCCTCTTAGTTACCACTCTCCCTCTGCTTGGCTCCAGTTACTGCAGGTAAAAAGCCATGAAGTTAACCAGAAGGGAAGGAAGATGAGTGACAATTTGAGAGACAAACCCTGCCCATGACTGAGAAAGAGCAGGGCAGGAAACAAAATACTGCCAGGCCCTTCCTCTTCAGTCAAGGACAATAAAGATCATATACACTTGAAATTCCCTGAGGATCGCCAGGCTGGGTGAAAGTTGGACATCTGAATAAGATGTTAAAAAAAATAAAAATGTTTGGAAGGAGAGTCTTTCATTATATATCCGTAAATAGTGAGAAAACTAGAAGATAAAAGCTCAATGACAAAAGTTATATAAGAGCTATCCTTGTTTTGGTTGGGTTTTTTTTGTTTGTTTGTTTTTTTTTCCCCCAGAGTAAAAAGAGGTAGACATTTATTATGGTGTTTTCTTGACACAGCAGAAAGGGGACACCTTTGCCTGCCGTAGACACGTATAGCTCCCTCAAGTTACCCAAGTCTGCAGCAATGCTGCCCTACAGTCTACTTTTGTTTTTAAACAAATTCTCTGATTCTTCTAATTAAGACAAGCACAGCACCGACCACCCAACTCCCTCATGCTGTTCCTTACCCCATTTATGGTGGAGCACTCGTGTGCAACATCCTCCCTTGCATCCCCTCACCCTACATTGCATTCAGAGAGCTCTGCTGCAGATGTGTGTGTCAGCACAGGTGCCTTTTACCCCTTTTGGACCTAAAAACCTTAATCCAGGCAGAAGTAGCTGCTGTAGCAACTAGCTGCTGATTAGCAAAACAGACTACTAAGTCAGGTTTCTCCAAAATTAAAGGGGGAAACTTATTTCCCTAGGAGGAGCTTAGGTGTGCTTGGCTGGGAGTCAGACCATCTCCTTGGTAAGTCTTACTGCAATAGACCAAAGGATTCAGAAGATAAGGTTTGGAAGGGAGATGTCAACTCAACAGACAAAGCTTTTAGGACCTGATTTACAGGAGATGCAAGCCTGACCCCAGAGGATGGATACTGAAAATGAACCCGATACTAGAAGTACTCAGAGAAAACGCTGCAGTATTAACACACTTAACTTGTGAACGGTCCACCAAAAATAAAGGCTGCAACACCCAGAACTGGTTACGCTGTCACCTGCTTTTAAGAAAAGAGCCCATCTCTGAGGCAACATCACATTAGCAAAAGGCTCAGGACCTTATTTCTGGCCTTTGCAGGAGAGGACTCGGAGCTACTGCACCCGGGAGGAAACAGAAGCTCTCCCCCTGCCCAATCGCCACGTTATTTATAGGCGGTATAGTCTCCAATAACACTTTTCAACCTATTTTGAAGAACACACCCTTTCCCAGGCTTTTTTCCAAGCCCCAGGCAGGAAAGAAGCCAAACAGGCAGGATACAGAGGCCAAAACCCCGGGGTCTGCACTATTCTTAGCCTGAGCATGCAGCGACTCAGCTCGGCCTGAGACACAATGAGAGGAAGCAGCAGCCACTGTTTGCAGAGAGCAGCCAACATGCCGCTTGCAAGATAAGTGCGCACCCGAGCTGGAAAGGCTCAAAATGTATACCCTCCATCAGTTCAGGGAGCAGCAGAAGTTGCATCAGTGGTTTGAGGAGACAGAGTGCTACTGACTTACATCCTCTAGTCTGCACTAGATGTATTTAGTTATTCCCTCTCAAGTGCCTTTGTACCAATGCTTCAAGAATGGAACCACCCGTAGCAAAACTGGCAGACGAAGGAATGGGAACGGAAGATAAGTTCTAGGCTATCATAGAATCATAGAATGGTTTGGATTGGAAGGGACCTTAAAGATCATCTTGTTCCAACTCCCCTGCCATGGGCAGGGACACCTCCCACCAGACCAGGTTGCTCAAAGCCCCATCCAACCTGGCCTTGAACACCTCCAGGGATGGGGCAGCCACAGCTTCTCTGGGCAACCTGGGCCAGTGCCTCACCACCCTCAGAGTAAAGGATTTCTTCCTAATATCTCATCTAAATCTCCCCTCTCTCAGTTTAAAACTGTTACCCCTCATCCTATCACTACACTCCCTGATATACTATTCCTCCCCATTTTCTTGTAGCCCCTTTAGATACTGGAAGGGGCTATAAGGTCTCCCCGGGGCTTTCTCTTCTCCAGGCTGAAAAACCCCAACTCTCTCAGCCTGTCATCTCTGGGTGTACAAGACATGAGGCAGCAGGGAAGTATATAGACTGAACTAGGTCCTACTGAAGATATCCAACTACTGCTGGGCTACTCTACAACATCTTTCAGATAAGAAGAGTTTATTTTGGGTTAGAGTGCTCTGACTTGCAAGAGGAGCATGCATGGACAGCAGGCTCTCAGGAAGCTGCTGCTGGAGCAATGGCCCTATGCAAAGTCCTGCATAGTGGAGCTCCCAGGCTGATGCAGGTAGACCACAAGAAAAAGAAATAGTTCTAATTTTTCCTAACCAGAAAAAAAAATAAAATACTTGGACATCTTTCCTCCCTGAGATCTCACCTAACAGCTGCTCTTCTCCCCTTTCTTGTGTAGTTTCTGATGTTATTTAGCCCATCTATTCCTATTCTCTATACAAATCCAGAGTCATCTGCAGGTCCAGTGCAGGTGAAGCTCTGGAACCCACAGAGCAGCACCACCTCATCCTCCACCCTGCAGAGACATACCAAGAGCCTCAGCTGGAACACTGGATCTGGGGACCCTAACTCCCCAGATGAAGGCCATACAGCACTTTGGTATGGTTCTCAGTTTTAAGCTCTACCCTGCGTGTCTTGTTTCTACATGGATTTTTACGGCTGTCTTCATAGCCAAGTGCCAGGTGGTCATAAACCATAGCTTTGAGATAACAAGCATGAGTCGTGCTTTGCACATTGAGAACAGGGCACGTTATTTGATGACACGGTAGGGCTTATAGGAGACCTGGATTGGGGCTGGGCTCCAGCTCAAATGCAGAGTGATTTATTCAGCTCTGTCCTGAGGGAGGCAGTCGTGACTCTTTCCATCTAAAGCATTGCCACATTCCAAGTCAGTCCCTTGAAAAATGGAATTCCTTTAAACAAGGAATGCTTTATCTTAAGACCATAAGATCCGAGATCATTAAGAAAACACCACCGGAAGAATGAAGTGATGCAACTGGGCTAGTAGTTATCACTAAAGTCTATCTGCCATGCAGTTTTCTTACAAACGCTGTTTAAAAAACAGTGGGAAATTTAACAGACTCCTCCTTAAAGATTTACTTGCTCCATCCCTGAATTACAGAAGACTAGTTTCCCTGTAAAGTTTCTTGTACAGAGTTAAAAGACACCTATAATATCAACTGTTCACCACCTGTCGCAGAACCAATTCAGCAAGGTGCAAGCTGCTTCGCAGCTTTTGGGTCACAGATAACTTCTCACACAGTTCTCGCTTGCCAGCTCATTACTCTGCTCACTCAACCCACGTGTTCCTCCAGAAACCTCACAGTCCTCGCTTAGCTCGCAGCTTTCACCGCTTGGTTTAAGTGTTCAAAAGGTGACTTCCAAGCAGAGGTCAACATAATCAACAGCTGAAATTCAAAAACTTTGTAGAAAGCTTAATTCGGCTTAATGAAGCACGTCAAGTGCTTCCAGCGTGTGTTTTCAAGCTCAGCCAGTTTTCAGATGTAGTGAAGCAGAAGAAAAACGTCTTGAGAGTGCTGCCATATGCAGCCACAAACTCACAAACCTACGTGTAAATTGGCTATTAAGCCCCGTGCTTCGCACCTCCAGAGACACAGTTAACCTTTGTGGGGTTTTTTTTCCCCTAGAGGGAAAAGCATCTGCTGTGGTGAAGTTCCCATTTAAATATACATGTGTGAATAATCAAAATCACACACAGTTACGCATTTGTGTTAGAGGAAGCAAAGTCAGCAGAGCCTGTCTTAGGCACAGTAAGCTCGTAGTGCTCTCGTGTCCCAGGCAAGTTTATTTCAAAACAGAATAGAAGTCTGGACAGATCAAGTGCTCTACCATTTATTTCTTCTTTTTCCTGACAGGGACTCACACTTCCACACCACCCCTTATGAGAGATTTTCAGCGTAAAAGTCAAAACACAACACAGAAAGCACTCAGGAAAATTTGGAAGCACAGGAACAGTGCAGCAATTCAAACTATGCACGCAACAAGCCTGAACTTAGCAGTGGGGCAGGATCATAGAATGGTTTGGGTTGGAAGGGACCTTTAAAGGTCATCTATAGTCCAACCCCCCTGTAATGAGAGGGAACATCTTCAACTAGACCAGGTTGCTCAGAGCCCCATCCAATCTCCCCTTGAAGGCTTCCAGGGATGGGGCATCTCCCACCTCTCTGGGCAACCTGGGCCAGTGTCTCACTACCCTCAGTGTAAAAAAGTTCTTCCTTATATTTAGTCTAAATCTTCCCTCCTTTAGTTTAAAAGGCCTTTGTCCTATCACTATAGAGCCTACTAAAAAGTCACAAAAAGTTACTTGAGTGTGATTTATCTGATGGAGATGAGTTCCACAGCTACCACCAATCCCTCTCAGATACTTCCACTGACTGGGAGACTGTTTCCTATTTTCAGTTGCCCACCATCCTGGAGAAAAATGCATTGGAAGGTCCACTGGTAAGTCCACAGGGACCAGGAAAACACGGACCATAGAGCAAGGAGGTACTTCTTATGTTCTTTACCAGGATCCAGACATTTTCAAAAGCCAAGCTGAAAACCAGGTTTCACTGTGTGTAGACGGCTATGGAGCTCAGTCCAGTCCAGCTCTCCTTATCAGGCAGCATGAACTCTCTCCAAGACCTAAGTGTGTTTTGACACCTGCAGCACAAGTCCTACTAAACTTCATTCAGGAGCTCAGAGGGCTGCCAAGATGGTTTCAGGAAGAGAGGACATTCAAAGAGGGTTATATGTCCTCCACAGTGTTTGTGGTGGGGTAGAAAACAAGTATACCCTCTCCAAGGAAAGCCTTTTCCATTCACAATGAAGAAAAAGATCCTGTAACTCCCAAAATCTGTTTCCCTTGCATCCCAGTTTATCCACAAAGGTGGCTATGGCTAAAATTTCTCTACAAGATCTCTCTTCATTTCAAAGGGTTTTGTTCTCCAGGGTGCAAACCTGGACAACCTTTGCTAGTATACAGCCCCTTCCCCAAGAAAATGTTTAAACAAATAGTAGGGAGTCAACCCCCAAATCACAGCCAGCACCTGCAGCTGAGATCACTGCAACATGCTTCCTCCCTTCAGCCGAGTGATGGTCATTAAAAACTACTTCAGATGGGATTGCACAATTATCCACATTCCTCCATGTCATGGCCTTCCTAAGGGCAAGTTCTTGCCCAGGAACCTGGAGTGCCACACACACGTAGCTGCTGGGCTCTACCGCCTCTTCTTTCAAACATTTGTGTCTTAGTTCTTGTAGCAAGTGTCCCTACAGCCCAAGCACCTCCAAAGCCACCGCAGGTGGGAAGGATAACAACTCATTGTCATTGGACTACCAAATGGGGTAAAGTTGCGACCAGAGCCAGCTCTGGACCATATCAGAATTAGGCTTGACTACAACCTCAAATACCTTCTTGTGGGAAAAGCAAGAGGGTGTTTGCAGGCTGAAGTGAACTCTGTCATCACCATTGTTTATGGTAGTTGACAGATTAACATAACCACAATAAACAGCTTTCCCGATTCCCTACCAAGGCTGGGCGTCATTTACTTCTGGGTCCCGTTCTGACCACACAAAGGACCCATTTCACGTATCCCATGGCAATGGGGAGCAACCACCCCACTCATCCCATTCCAACAATCATGCAAGACTAACTTCCTCCTCCATTGGGTTCTCCTACCACGTTGGCAGCAGAGATTCTTTCCAGAACCCCAAGAGACAGAAATTCAAGGACACAAACTCTTCTGATAACAACAAATAAACTTGTCCTTCCTGCAATGGGCCGTACTTGGGACCACATTCTGGCTGTACGCTCTGTGAGCGCATCCCACGCACAAGGACCTGCAAAACTTTGCAGAACACCACGTTACTGTTAGTCCAAGTTCCTCTAGATGTTGTCAAGTGCTCTGAACAGTATCTGCACAATTTGGAAATCTTATCTATTCAAATTCCAGTGCTAAGTTCAGCTAAGCTGAACTGGGACCTTAAAGTACCAGGAACACAAAAAGCACCTGTAAGAGGGACCAAGCTGGTCTGCAACATCCTATTACAGCAAAAATCGCAGACATGCAAATGACAGAAATACACACCCAGGGACTGGGTGAAGTACTTAAGGACTGGGTACAGGTACTGAAGGAAGAAGTATCAAAGAAACACTGACTCTAGTGACAGCAGTGTCCCAAGATCTAGATGGGGAAGTCATCCAGCTGGTGCTGCCTAACTCAATGCTGGGCTGGATGGAAGGAAAACACAAATCAAGGTTCGCAGGAACCTTTTTGACTCTGGACACACGTCATCATCAGCTCAAGAGTCTCCCATACCTTCCAGCTGCTGGAGCCTTCTCCTCCCCAGGAGGCTGCCAACTGAACGGGCCACATAAA